AGTCAATAGACAGTATTTTTATGTTTTTAACTGTTGGATTTCTCAGCAGTCCTAAGATGATGATGATAGGTATCTTGGAGCATGAAACTCTCTTTTACATATATAAAAAAAAAAAAAAGGAAAATAAGCCTCTGTTGATAATAAAATTCCACAAAATTCATCCCCAAAACTTGGGGATCTAGTACCACAGATGCTGGGCTATATCAGTAATTATATCAGTAATTAATTCAGGATGGAAAGGAAGAAGAAGGGCAGCCACCCTTGTTTGTACTGCACTGTCATCAACTTTAGGTATTTTACCAATTTAACTTTTTTTAATACTTATTATTACTTATTTACTTATGAGTATTTACTTATTGGTATCAGAGACTTCAAGGCATCCATACTCATTGTCTTTATGTTCAAGATAGAGTTCATTTATTAGCTAGTAATTTTATAAATACCAACCATTAGATTAATCAGTGATTATCAAATTCCTATTTATATATTATAGAGACTTAAATAATGTGTAGAATTTACTTTTTCAAAGCTAATTATGGTAGCATCTGTTTGTCCTACATAATAAAACAAAAAAAAAATTATTAAACAAATGATACCAAGGTTTTATGAAACTGTGGTTAATTTTAGATTTATGCTTATATAAAGTATTACTTCCTGTGTGCCGGGCACTTCTCTAAGTCCTTCATACCCATTTATTTATTCAGTGCTCACAACACAGGCTTTCAATAAATGACGGATGAATGCTGAATGAAAATATAGTATCCTTTATTATAATACTTACATAAAGTATTAAAAGTATAAAATAATACTTATATAAAGTATACTTATATAAAGTATTACTTTATATACTTTAATACTACTATACTTTATAAGTATTACTTCATATATGCATAAACCTAAAATTAATATTATCTGATTTAAATATAATATATAATTAATATAATCTAAGTCTGATTTAAGAACCTGATTTAAATATTACCTTTGTTTCTTATGTATTTAGCAGTATTTGTAGTTAAACTGTGATTCAACCATTTGCCTAAGAGTAGTTTATTAAAATTGTGATTCACAGGTGGTGTTTTTTAGGACTATGGGTTGCTTGTTCCAGGAACAAAAAAAATTAAGCAGTAATATATTTATATAATCAAATATTAAAATAAATATTTAAGTGATAAAAATGAAAAATATAGGTGAAAAGATTCCTTGGAATTGTGTTCTTAATGAATTGTTGGAAAATACATTGGTATTAAAAATACATAAAATGTGTTACTTTCTCATTTAACTTAATTATTGATTTTATTCAGGTAATTACTGTATATTTCTAGCTTTATAAATTTTTTTTTGAACAGAATTTGTTATAAATGGTGGCTGCAGTTGCAAGATAATTCACAACCTCAATTTAATCTGTAATTTAATTAAATAGCATACTGATACATAGTAATTTAAATTGGCACTGGGTCAAGCTTAGAAAAAGTTTAGAGTAAGGGATGCTTGCTGTCATGTTGTGCCTTTCTTGTATATATTCCTCAGATCTCTGTTGCCCTGATGCCCTTGGGTTTAAATATGGGCATCTGCCCCTGTGTCTGCCTCCTGACTCTTAACCCCTACATGGTTTATTTGCCTCCTAGAAACTCCATTTTTCCTAGGCATGGGCTCAGGCCTCTATTCCATTAGAGTGTCATGGCAGAGCCAAATCAGTGCATTTCAGTTTCTTTCCTTATGGGAACACCTTTTGTAACATCTCCCATTCCATAACTTGACTGATGTGTACTGTCAATAAAATTTAATAATAATGCCAGATGTGGTGACTCATGCCTGTAATCCCAGCACTTTAGGAGGTTGAGGCAGGTGGATCACTTGAGGCCAGCAGTTTGAGACCAGCTTGGCCAACATGGTGAAAGCCTGTCTCTGCTTAAACAAATAAAATAAATAAATAAATAAATAAATAGCCGGAGTGGTGGGCACCTGTAATCCCAGCTCTTTGGGAGGCTGAGGAAGGAGAATCGCTTAAATCCAGGAGGTGGAAGTTGCAGTGAGCTGAGATTGTACCACCACACCCCACCCTGGGTGACAGAGCAAGATTCTGTCTTCAAAAAAAAAAAAAAAAAAAAAAATTAATAATAGTATTGTTATCCTAATTGGTGGGAAAAGATTTTAAGGTTTTTTTGAACATGGCATCTATTCTTACATATCTCATATTAAAAGGTATTTAATTAATGCTAATTTATATATGCATTTACTTTAATGTATCATTATTTCATGCCATTCTGCAAAGAACACAGATAGTGGAGAGAAAGAGATAAAAACAATGTTTGCAGTGGCTCACACCTGTAATCCCAGCCCTCTGAGGAGGGAGGATTGCTTAAGGCCAGAAGTTTGAGACCAACCTGGGCAACATAGAGAGACCCTTTTTTATTACCTGCAAAAAATTTTAAAATTAGCTGGGCATGGTGGCATGTGCCTGTGGTTCCAACTACTCAGGAGGCTGAGGTGGAAGGATCACTTCAGCCCAGGAGTTTAAGGCTACAGTGAGCTATGATTGTGTCTCTACATTCCAGCCTGGACAGTTGAGGAAGTCTGTGTCTTTAAAATAAAAATAAAAATAAAAATAAAAAACATTTATTTTCTATTGTTTGTAACACCTGTCACACAGTGAATTTGGAGGTAGTAGAGGTTTAGAGTTAGGAATGTCTTACTTATCTTGATATTCTCTGCCCCTAGCAGAGTGTATGACACGGCAGATATTCAATAAGTATTTATTAAATATAATTGAATTTTTAAAAGCAAAAATATTTCTCTTTTGACAGTCTTATGGTTCCGGGCCTAACATTTCCATGTAATTCTGATATTTGTGACTGTAAGTAGGCACAAATGAATAGATTGTGGTATCTAAAAGCTGGATAAATGTCTCTTCTGTTAGGTTTGGAGCTCTTACAGCTCCTAGTGCTCTCCATACAGTGAATTCTTAGTCAGGGAAGATGACCAGATGATGGATTCTAAAGAGAAGAGAATTCTGTGAGACCTGAATAAATAAAGTGTAAAAATTCATTAGATTGTTTTATCTTCATTTGACACATTAATTAAAAAAAAAAAAAATACACTATGTGGCATGTCAACCTGAGTCATGTCTGCAAAAGATAATCAATAGAAATCAGTTTATTGTTCTCTAATTACATGTATTGATTGATGCCTTTTAACATCTCTAAGCCATAGAGTAATGTTTCCCCAGTTGCCTTCTGCAGTAAGTGACTGAATTAAATGGAAGAGTAGCTAAGACAATGAAGGATATCTATCCTGCCTATTATTTATTTTAATATCTGATCACCATCTATTTAGCTACATGTAAAATTATAGTCATTAATACATATCTGTAAACTTGTATCTTGGAATTGTTCCTGAAGAAGTCCTGCAAATATTTCACTATTCTACATTATGAATGAAACATATAAATTCTGAATTTAGAAGTATTTGCCTATCCCTTACAGATAAGTTGTTATTCTCCTAAATATTATATATTTTACAACATCTTCAATTACCAGTTTCTTTATAAACACTGTTAGTAAGATAGGTTTGCGATTATTTCACTTCTCCAAGCTCCCTCAACAAATAGATTTTTCTCCATGTATTTGGCATCTAATTATATGCCCCTATGAAGTTTATGTTTAAATCTTCCCTTTGTATGCCTCGTATCCCATAAAGTTATTATTTCTAAACAGATTGTATGTAAATATTATTCAATATAATTCACTTAAGGTAGAGGGGGTGTAATCTATTCAGAGAGTAGGTCTGAATTATTATGGAATATAAATACATTTTGCCTACTTGGAGCTCTGAAGTATCAAAATCCATTGAGCATTGTCACAAATCCGAACTGTCTTCCTTGTGAGGCCTACTCTAAACTATGCCCTAACATTTTGGAGGGGGAGAGGGAATGAGCCTCAAAAGGTAGATGGGAGTATTACTAAGGTTAACATTTATTTAAGTTTTAACAGTTAGTCCTTATATTTATAACTATTCACTAGCTAAATAGGATCAATATGCAGGAAAAAGGGAGTGTTATCAGTATTTCATGATGCTAGTTAACATGTATTTTGAAATGCTGTTTAATAGCTCAGTAGTATAATGTGTGATATTATAGATAAATATAATGTCTTTTTTTATTCAAAAGAATTGGTAATAACTGATAAGAGTGTAAGATTCTTCAGAACATTACATCTGTTTTCTTAGATTCTCACATGACTAGGGCATAATAAGAGAAAAGGGACTCAGTAAATATTTGTCAAATAAGCCATTGTATGAGTGGGTTTTTTTAAATGCATTTTCTCTGGTATATAAGGGATGCAGAACACATAAAAGATGCTTAGTTAATGTGTTTATTTTAATAGAGACTGTTTTTATTTAAACATGAACATGTAGAAAGTTGGTATTTATGTATATGAGTATAGATAGGTAAGTGTTGTCCATAACTTTTTCAATTCTAAGATCTTTTATGGCATTCTTCTCTCTTCTTTGTAGAGCCTAGTACAGTTGCTTGTATGGCAGTATACTTCATCAATTCTAAGATGCTCTCTTTTTTCTTAACCTTTAAACATCATTTGGGTATAAAAGAAGCTTAAATGTGTTTTCTTGTTTAAACTGCTTTTTGCCACAAAGTTACATTTGTGATGGCTAATAAATAGTAGTAGCCTAATTTGCTCATTGATGTGTGATTGGAAAATTTTAGCTAACTAAATTAAATACCCAAGTTTATCTTCATCACCAGACCCACCTATTTAAAGCATTGAATTTAGTGTTATTTAAGGCTTACTGTGTGCTCATACACTTTAAAAATTATTATGTGATTTTTGGTAAATAAGACAATATTTAGTAATTTGTGAATGTGGAAAATGAATACCATTTTTACTTCAATGGGATAGAATAAAATATGATATTTTAATTTTAAAATGTCTTCTTGGAGTTCTTGATTCAGATTGTAATCCTAGTTTTTCCTGCTCCTTCCATAGCTTCCTGCAGATTTCACAAAACTGCATCTCACTGACAGTCTCCACCCACAGGTGACCCACGTTTCTTCTAGCCATTCAGGATGTAGTATCACTAGTGATTCTGGAAGCAGCAGTCTTTCTGATATCTACCAGGTAAGAGACTGTTTTCCTTGTCATTTGCTTCATTTTCATTTATTCCAAGACATTTTAAGGTTCTCAGCTGATAGAATCTATAAAGTAAATACATGTGTGTATATTACATGTGCATGTATGTACAAAAAATATTAATGTTTATTTAATGTATGTTATTTTTAGGGTGTAGAACTGTCTAATTGTACTGCCTCTGCTATTACAAGTTATCAAAGTGTTTATTTTTTTATTTGTATAAAATATATGGGGTAAAAGTGTAAAATTTTTGCTTGGATAGATTGCATAGTGGTGAAGTCAGGGCTTTTAGGTTATACATCACCCCAATAACTTACATGGTGCCCATTAAGTAATTTCTCATTATCCACACCCTACTCTCTCATGCTCTGAGTCTCCACTGCTTATTCCACACTCTGCATCCATGTGTAAACATTATTTAGCTCCCACTTGTGACTGAAAATGTGGTATTTGTCTGTCTGTGTCTGACTTATTTCAAATAAGATAGTGGCCTCCACTTCCATCCATATTGCTGCAAAAGTCATGATTCATTTTTTATGGCTGAATAGTATTTCATTGCGTATATGTACTGTACTTTATTCAGTCATCCATTGATGAACACTTTGGTTGATTCTATATCTTTGCTATTGTTAATAGTGCTGCAGGACACATACAGGTACAGGTACCTTTTTGATATAATGATTTATTTTCCTTTGGGTAGATACTCAGTCATGAGATTGGTAGATTGAATGGTAGTTCTGTTTTTAGTTCTTGGAGAAATCTCCATACTGTTTTTCATCAGAGGTTGTACTAGTTTACATTCCCACCAGCTGCATGTTATTGTTCTCTTATCTCCACATCCTCACCATCTGTTACTATTTTTGTCTTTTTCATGACAGCCATTCTGACTGGTGAAAGATAGTATCTCATTGTGGTTTTCATTGGCGTTTCTCTGATGATTACTGGTATTAAGCATTTTTTCGTATGTCTGTTGGCTATTTGTATGTCTTCTTTTGAAAATGTCTATTCATGTCCTTTCCCCACTTTTTAATGGGATTATTTTGTTGTTGTTGTTATTCAGTTGTTTGAGGTTCTGGATATCAGTCCCCAGTAGGATGCATAGTTAGCAAATACTTCTCCCATTCTACAGATTATCTATTCACTCTGTTGATTATTTCTTCTACTGTGCAGAAGCTTTTTAGTTTAATTAAGTCCCATTTGTCTGTTTTTGTTGCCTGTGCTTTTGAGGTCTTAGTCATGAATTATTTGCCTAGACCAGTGTCCAAAAGAATTTTCCCTAGATTGTCTTCTAATATTTTTATAACTTTGGGTCTTAAGTCTTCAATCCGTTTTGAGTCAATTTTTTTTATATGCTGAAAGACAGGGGTCCAGTTTCATTGTGCTGTATATGGCAACCCAATTTTCCCAGCACCATTTATCAAAAAGGGTAGCTTTTCCCAAGTGTATGTTCTTGGCTTTGTCAGATCGGTTGGCTGTAAATATGTGACTTTATTTCTGGATTCTTTATTTTGTTCCATCGATCTATGTACCTACTTTTATACCAGTATCATGCTGTTTTGGTTATTATAACCTTGTAGTGTAATTTGTTCTTTTTGCCCAAGATTGCTTTCACTATTCAGGCTCTTTTGTGGTTACATATGTACTTTAGGATTTTTTTTTTTTCTAATTCTGTGAAAAATGATGCTGGGATTTTGACAGGAATTACATTCAATCTGTATATTGCTTTAGGCAGTAAGGTCATTTTAATGATATTAACTCTTTCAATCCATGAGCATGGGATGTTTTCTCATTGCATCATCTACAATTTCTTTCATCAGTATTTTGTAGTTTTCCTTGTAGATCTTTCACCTCCTTGGTTGAATACTTTCTAGGTATTTTTTTTTTTTTTAGCTATTGTAAATGAGATTGCTTTCTTGATTTTGTTCTCAGCTAGATTGTTATTGGTGTATAGAAATGCTACTGATTTGTGCACATTAATTTTGCATTCTGAAACTTCCCTGAATTCTTTTATCAAATCTAAAAATTTTTTGATGGAGTCTTGAGGGGTTTCTATATATAATGAAATCACTCTTATCAGTGAACAGGGATAATTTCACTTCCACTTTTCCATTTTGGATGCCTTTTATTTCTTTCTCTTGCCTAATTGCTCTGGCTAGGACTTAGAATACTATTTTGAATAGGAGTGGGAAAGTGGGCATCCTTGTTACAGTTCTTTTAGGGAATGCTTTCAAGTTTTCCCTGTTGAGTGAGATGTTGGCTGTAGGTTTGTCTAATATTACAAGTTTTTCTTATTAAAGTCATACTGAGTGTGACAAAAGGAAGAGCCTATTCAGAGTGGATCATTGAATTATCTTCCTTGTGTTTTTAAAAAATTACCTTTAGATTTAGTATCTGCTTAAAATAAATTTTTATGATACTGATGGATAGAAAATAAGCCAGAGCTGTGGGATTCCAAAAATGTTTTTAAAACAAAATAATTTTAATTCTTAAGAAACATTCTATTAGCTTTGAATATGCAAAGTTAGGAAAAGAGACTGAAATATACACAAAAAAATCCTTATTTGGGCCTTCAAATACATTCTACTACTATTGGATTGTATATGGTTTCAAGCAAAATAACTTTATTCTTACTTTACAAAGAATAACTCTTGGCTTATTAGGAACTGTGGCATGAAATAACCATAAAAGTAACTTTCTTTAGAGACAATATAGTTATGAAGGATCATTGTTGTATTTAGTCAGTGATGTTTTTATTTTTTTAATTATTGAAAGTTAGTGAACAATTAAGAATACCATCAATACAAGACATATTCGTTTAGGTCCTGAATTTAGTAGATCTTGGAAAATAATTTTATTTTAAAGAGACAGTAAACTAATTATATACTTTTCTCAGTTTACTTCCACATCACATACACACAAACACACCATTTATTCTGAAAGTTGATTTTTCTAAACATGTATCGAAGAATTCCCTTGTGTAAAACAATCAACAGTATACATAAAAGCTGTACTTTAGCTTATATTAATTGAAATATTATGGCAGAGCTTTTGTCCTCTAAACTTTGAGATTATTATTATACATATTGAAAATCTATAGTGAGAATACAGCTTGAGGTTACAACAATTATCACTGTTCTCATCAGATAAATACAAACTTGGATGAAACTCCTAAAAGGTAAATCTGTTAAGAGAATGAAGTAACTTGTTTGGCCAGGTGCAGTGGCTGATGCCTGTAATCCCAGCACTTTGGGAGGCCAAGACAGGCAGATCACTTGAGGCCAGGAATCTAACACCAGCCTGGCCAACATGGTGAAACCCCATCTCTACGAAAATACAAAAATTAGCCAGATGTAGTGATGCATGCCTGTAGTCCCAGCTACTCAGGAGGCTGAGGCACGAGAATCTCTTGAGCCTCAGAAGTTGTCACAGCAGTGAGCCGAGATCTCCCCACTGCACTCCAGCCTGCGGGGCAGAGCGAGACTCCGTCTCAAAAAACAAAAAAGTAACTTGTTTGTATAATTGATTGAGGCATATTCTGAGGGGAATTCTAGTCATATGTGCTTTTACCTTGAATAGGCTGGATAAGTACATGAGGAAATGCAGATGGTACTTCTTCTGCCCCTGGTTATCATCTGAATGTCTGTGAAACCAGAGTGTAGGTGAGAGTTCCTAATTACTCTAACTTAGTTGGAGCTTGCAGCCTGCTATCTGGCTTTATCTTTGGGTGTAGATGAAAGAGGATCCCTGTGCATATCATTATAGTTGATTGTCAAAGCTATTTGTTTCAAATTTGATGACAGGCATATAGCCTGTAAGTATGTATCCATCGTAAGGAAAAATCCATAGATGTATCTAAGGATCTAGTTATTGGCTGTGCAAAACTTAACATTTAGTAGAGATTTTCAGTAGACCACTTCTATTATCTTTGAATCAGAACTTAAAATGAGAAGTCTGACATGCACCTGGTTCAACTTCCAAATTTACATTTGAATCCTCTGCTTCTCTCCTGTGAATCAAGCATCCAGTTTATTCTTGAACAATTCCAAGGGTGAGCAACTTTCTCCCACAGCAGCCCATTTAATCTTCATACAGTTCTGATTTCAGAGGTCTCCTGTCACATTGAAGTGAGAATAAACGCTCACGAGATGGACACAGATTGAATTTGAATGCTGTACACCAGGGAGATATGGATAGAATAATGTTGCTGAGATGGTGGGAAGAGAGGAATTCGTGAGTGAATTCTTAGTCATTCATAATGACTAACCTTTAGAGAAGAAACACTCCTCTGTTTTAACAGGGACACATCCTGGGGAGTTTGGGAGTTGAGGGAGTTCCTGTCTTAGACTTCTGTTTTCTCTCGGAAGAGTTGAGTTCATTTGTTGAGAGTGAGAGGGTTGGCAGGTAGAGAGTTTTAAGGAGAGAGAAGTTTTGAAATAATAGTTGCAGAGAGTAGGAGAACAAATTGACCAGAGAAATGGAGACTGAATTGAGTTAGTGCCCTCAAATATAAAGTGATTTCTCTGCTCTGTTAAGTAATTTTCTCCACAGTAAGCACAAAGAAAGCAAGGATTTGACTTCACCCAGGACTGAAATTTGTTAAGTGACTGTAATACAAAGACAGGTGGAGCAACAAGGCAAGCAGTTTTCTAACTGCAGATCACAGCTTTTGTATGCCTCTGCCTGGAATGTTTTCTCCTAGCTTGATCCTTTTCAGCCTTTGTTTTCAAGTATCATCTCCTCAGAGCTGTTTCTTTATAACCCTCTGTAAAGGAAATCCTCCATTTTGATTCCTTTCCTGCCTAATCTTTTTGTTTCCTTCCTAGAACACTGAGTGAAACAATTATTACTTTTTATGTTGTCTCCCTGCCTAGTAGAATGACACCTTCAAGAAGGCAGGGAACTTGTTTGTCTTGTCTCCATTTTTTCTGCTAGAGCCTAGTACAGTGCCAGGAAATTTTAGGCATTCAGTAAAGATGTGTTGAATGAAT